AGACAGACAGACAGACAGACAGACAGACAGACAGACAGACAGACAGACAGACAGAGACAAAGAGAAAGAGAAAGAGAGATACAGTCACGTTATTTTTTTTCCTCTCTTTTCTCCTCCCACCTTCTCCCCCCTGGAGAGCCATGAGAAGACAACTCACATCTTGAACTCGACCTCCTTAAAAGGCGGACGACACTGAGCCTCCTTAAGCCTCGTTGCATCAGCACAACCTGGAGTGTTTTGTTTGGCTGTATTTTTAAAAATGTTTTTCTGCTCAGCGCTCCGGAAACCTTTGGGTCCCTGGGGTGCATTATATGAAGTGAAACCCAAGACGCAACAGTAAATTCCCCCCAGGATTGATTGATTATTTGTTTGTAGTTTTGAACAGGCCGGTCTCATTTTCTTTAAAGTGGTTTCATCTTCTTTTTAATCCGATATTTTCATTCAGGCCTACTTTCTCTTAGAGAATCTCTCGCATATATATTGAGACCTTCTCCCCATTCATAAAAGAACAGTTTTTGTATGTGTTGAGATCAAAGGTATTTGGGAAAATGAAACCTCTTTAGTGCAATGTTTTCACAGAACTGGGCCCGCTTCTGGCTATCAGTTGGTATTATGCTTGAGAACCCTGGGGATGCCCCTATTTCAAACCCTTGTCATAGTGTTCTTAAACGTTTTCTTTTACCTTGAATTTTTTCATGCCTCTTATTTCAAAATGTTGAACACAATGCACCTCCAAAAAAACAAACAAACAAACAATAACAACATGTAGATTTATATCTGATTTCACAAACCCAACACGAACACTGAATATAATATGTATATTGTGCATGTACCTTAAACATGTTATTGTTAACAATTGTTTATTTATACATTTGTACAACACTACCCTCTGCCAGTAAACCTTGTATGTGAAATGAGAATGTGATGCCTAATAACAACTTTCAACATCGCTAGAAGAGACAGGGTGAAAAACGAGTTTGTCAGAGAACAAGTTGGCTCAACTCGCTGCTTGCAACACAAAGGTAAACAACGAATGAAATGGTTTGTTTGGGCATCTGTCCAGACGAACACCAGACAGTTTAGCAGCGAGAGCATTACAGCTAGAGATTAAATGAAAACAGAGGAAAGAGGAGGCCCATGAAAAGATGAATAGAGGAGGAGATCAGAGAAACATTAGTTAAGAACAGTATAACTATGCGACGGGCGATACAAACATCATCATCATCATCATCATCATCATCATCATCATCATCATCATCATCATCATCCAGTGCCAGATCTGCTACAGACATTGACGATCATGGTTCTCCATCCATTCCTTTGCTCGGATGCTCTCAAAAAAGTTACATTTCCCGAACCTTTCCTAGTTACCCATTTGTTTAGGTTCCCTAAGTAGGTTGTTCTGGGCCTACCTCTGCTTCGTTTGCCTTCAATTTGATACAAATAACACACCAGAAAAATACATTAAATTTGCTTCTTCTCTCGACACTGCACGGTAACACAGATCGGAAAAGTAAAGTAAAGGTCCGCACGTAAAAGCAGATCTCCACTCTTTCTGCAGCCTTTCTGTTGCTATTTCTTGGCTTCATCTTACTGCTGTCTTTCAACCACACCCCTGATCTTATGGTCGGTGAGATCTAACATCGAGCCTTCTCGGACAAGGGCGAAAAATCTCGAAGGTCCCGTGTGCAAGTTGCGTACGTTAAAGATCCCTTGGTGGCCCAAAATCGACAAGAGTAGGCTTCGGCTCCCACCAGGGGAAAAATTCAAAATTTACTACCTGCTGTAAATTTTAGTATGTACTGTGTCCCGCGCGCTCACATTACCTTATGCAGTTACGAGCGCTGTAAAACACTTACAAAAAAAAAAGCAGATCTCCAGATCAATGTACATTTTGTATTTAGTGTTGGGTCAAAAGTGATATGAATAAAGAAAACATGAGAAACTACACGTCTACACGTTATGCAAGGGTGACGTATTAGCTCAGTCAGTACCATGATAGACTTAACAACGGATGGCTCTAGTTCGAAATCACAGTGTGCCGCTCTGTGCTAGGATTGTTTTGGGGAGATTTATGGTTCTCAACCAATGTGGCTCGGTCGCGTCTTCACACACATTATGATTGAATCCTATCATTATTGTCATTTCATTATTACCACATCATCATCATCATCATCATCATCATCATCATCATCATCATCATCATCATCATCATCATCATCATCATCATCATTGCTATAGCTACAAGGATTATTATCATTATGTGTCCTCTATTGGGGTGATATCCAATGCCAAGGAACAACTCTTTGTGACCTATTGAATTGGGAATCAAATAAAACAGATGCTCTAATTCTTTTGAAGGCAACCAAAGATTATACACAACACGATACCTCACTCTATTTTTGATTTTTTTTTCAAAACGCACCCACTAATGCTGACGGCGATATATAATGATCTGCACCATTCCGTTAGGGATACTTTTTCTATAGAGGGATATTTCTTGTATGCAAAGTGAAGTAGCAAACATTATAAAAAGAACATTCTTCTAAAGAACCCCCCTTTGTGAAAACGAAACGAAATATTTTCCCCACCGCCGCAAGCGACATCCTATTACTGCGCGTTGGTTCTGAAGGACACAATTGAAGAGAGTGGTATCTCAGCAACGTTCAAGGCAACTCAATTTCAGTGGGAAAGACAGGTAGATCTAACTTTTTTTCCAAAAGTCAAAAAATAAAAAAAGCCCCAACCTAGCAAACAAATTTTAAAAAACAACAAAAAGACAAAAACAAACAAAACCCAAAAAGAACTTAGTAGTACATAGAGCTTGAAACGGCATAGTATTATGCGGCGTAGTAATCTGTTCAAATATAGAAACCCAAAAATGTGGGTCACTCTGTAATAATATGTCCCACATAGACTATACGTGCCAATAAAATAGAACAATGGCCGTCAAAGGAAACGCTTCAAGATAGCAGACGACATTCTGTCTTTAGAGTAAGAGCCGCTTTCTTTCTCTGTATAGAATACGATAAATTTTAGATGAAGATATTTTCCTGTTGCATGGCAACAAATCTATCTCGGAGATCTATTCAGAAAGACATTTTTAATCTCTTCTAAAATTGGCATTGTTATCAAATTGAGAAAATATCTGGGCTCACCACAAAGCTGCAGCATCAAATGCTTGTTTGTTGAATTGAAAAGAATCGTATATCAATGACAAAATTTATTTTCATATAAAGAGAAGTGCAACGTGACAAGCAGACAAAGGTCTGCTAGATATTAGAGTTATTCAAAACTAAGAAGAGTAGGAATTTCTGAAAATAAAGACCATTGTCATTGATACTTCTATGTAATATAAATAATATATCCTGAATCCAAAGCAAATGACTCCATAGATCTATGAACAAAGTAAACGTATAAAACATTTCTGTTTTATAAAATGTGTAAAATACTGAAGCCGTGCTGAAAATACAAGAAAGAGCAAAAACGTTACAAACTCGTACTTACAAGTATTTCAAGGCCAGAGAAGCTTGGAAAGCCTTGTCCCCAACCGTTGCTATGGAATTGTCAGAGAGGTCTCTGGAAAAGAATAGTGCAGTCGAATTTACATAGGAAATATTGGCTTTCAAGACAACAAAGGAATTGATTTTCGAATATTACAGGCTTTTTCTGTCGTGGCAATACCATTTCGAAATACGGTCAGTTATAATCGCTCGCGATAAAGATATGTACACAACCAAACAAACAAACAGAACACAGACACACATATAATAAGGATTGCAAATGAAGACATACTGTGACAAAAACAGCAGGATATTGAGAGGGCGATAAAAAAGATCGTAAGATGGAAAAAAGAAATAAACCAAGAGAGAGAGAGAGAG